TCAGTCCGTTAAGCGTCCGACTTGGCTCATGTCATGATCTCACAGTCTGTGGGTTCCAGCCCCGGGTAGGGCTCTGTGCTGACAGCTCAGATCCTGGACCTGTCTGAGATTCTGTGTCTCCCTCTCTCTCTGCCCCTCCCCTGCTCGCTCTCTGTCTCTGTCTCTCAAAATAAAATAAAGACAGGAAAAAATTTTTTAAAAAATATGTCTGGGGCCCCTGGGTGGCTCAGTCATTAAGCGACCAACTCTTAATTTCAGCTCAGGTCATGATTACAGAATCATGAGAATAAGCCCCTGGTCGGGTTCAATGCTGAGTATGGAGTCTGCTTAGGATTCTTTCTCTTCCTCTCTCTCCGCCTCTCCCCTGATTGTTCTCTCTCTCTTTCTCTAAAAATAAAGTAAAATAGGGGCGCCTGGGTGGCTTAGTCGGTTAAACGTCAGACTTTCGCTTAGGTCATGATCTCGAGGTTCATGGATTTGAGCCCCGCGTCATGGGTTTGAGCCCCACGTCGGGCTGTGTGCTGACAGCCAGCTCAGAGCCTGGAGCCTATTTCAGAGTCTGTGACTCCCTCTCTCTCTGACCCTCCCCTGCTCATGCTGTCTCTCTCTCTCTCTCCTAGAAATAAATAAAATAAAACATTAAAAAAATAAATAAATAAAAATAAAGTAAAATAATTAAAAACAAACAATGTCCCTTGCCTCCAACATGTAATTTTGACTGTGAGCCCCTGTAAATACTGCAGCATACATGTTAAGGAATGAGTTTGCTGGGTCCTAGGTTACATGCATTTGAAATATTTATACAAATTGCCCACCAGAGGAGTTTTATTAACCTACACTCCAAACCTATAACGATTGAAGTCCTTGCTCCGCTCCCCCTCCCCAATATAGTATCTTGTCACCTTTGGGTTCTCTGTTCATTTAGTAGGTGAAAGGGCTATTGAAGTACAATTTAATTTTCATTTCCCTTAATATAACAAAATACTTCTTACATTTATAAAAGCAGAATTATTTTTGTTTTAATTCATCTGAATTATTATTATTATTATCCTTTTAAGCTGAGAGCAACATTTGACTATAATCTCTGAACTGCTTCAGCTGCAGAATTCTGGGCCTCATTCGATCTATTAAATTATGATCTCAAGGAGTGTGTGCTTTGGAGTCTGTGATTTAGTAAAGCATCAAACGGTTCTTCTGTTGACCGGAAAGCCTTGTATCTGCCTTAGGTATCTATATATTATATCTAATCACCCAGAATTCTCTTTATTTCTGTAAATACTCAGTCCAGGAAAGCTGCTCCAGTCTTTAATCTTCCCAGCCACATCTCTCCTATCTTGTACAGATTTTAAAATCTGTTTTCATGTTGTCAGAAAATTGGCTACTGTTAGTTGACAAAACAAAATGAAAACAAGCAAACAAAAGAGACTTGATTAAATATTTAGTGGAGCAGAAGGAACTTGATTGGACATCAAGGGTAGGGGTTTTCCCACCTAAACTGGTTTAGCAGGATTCGTGCCCAAACTGGACTCAATAGGATTCTTTATTGAGACTGGGCTTGACAGGTTAAGGATGGAGCTCAGGTCAGAAGAAGGCTCAGAAGAACCTGGCCAATTTGTCAACACCCATAGGGATTCTCTCGGCTTCCTAAAGGCGCACGAGCCACGAGCCTCGGGCCACGGGCCACGTGAGGCACCAGCACAGGTACCCATTGCTCGTCCAGCCTCCGACAGGGGCCTGGCTGGCTCGCTCCTGTAGCAGCTGCTCCGTGACCTTCTCTCCAGTCCTGGGTCACTTGAGTGCAGGCCCCCCTCCAGCCAGGCCTTTACCGTTACCTCAACTTAGAGACTTGGAATAAAGTCTGAATTATTGGATCTGAGCTAGGACAGGTGGATCTGAGCTAGGACAGGTGGGTTCTCGATGCTGGATTCTGATCACAATGATTACATCATTAAGTTATTTTTCAATACTTAAGAAGTGGGTCTTCTGTTCCTGTCACTCCATAAGGTCCAGGAGGACAGCTGGAAGGCAGGGGTCTGCTTGCAGTATGGACTTTGTGTCACTTAGGGTGTCCGTGCTGCATGGCTGAGAGAGCCACAGGCTGCCGGCGGACCCGGCTGGGAGGACTGGGTTCAAACATCCCACACGGGCAGGGCTGTCAGTCCGTCTCAGCAGAAAGACAACACTTTGGGGGAGAGCTCCTCACACGAGCACCCACAAGGTGGAAAGAAGGCACCACCTGTTGCTATGGCAACACCCCAACAGGAAAGGTCGTTTCCGTCTGCAATTAGCACGATCACAGACCGGGTAAATGGAGGTGCCTCTTATGACATAGAAGAGAGTTATACGTACACAACACAGACACCTGTCCCTTCCTAATTTAGCTCTCCTCTTGCTGAAGGAAATCTTTCCTTCCTGAGACCCTGTTTCTCTCATCATTCTAAAGGTAAAATGAGGGGCACCTGGGTGGCTCAGTCGGTTGAGTGGGACTCTTGATTTTGGCTCAGGTCGTGTTCTCACTGTTGTGAATCAAGCCCCACGTCGGGCTCCAGGCTGAACCTGGAGCCTACTTGAGATTTTTTCTCCTTCTCTGTCCCTCCCCAGCTTGCGCATGCGGAAAATAAAAAAATAAAAATAAAAATAAATAAAGGTAAATTGAGTGTAAGGACTTCCTAGTTTTGAGCTTTACCTCCAATTCATTCCCGTCTACACAGTGACAGTAGTGTTCCAGACGCACACATTTGTCCCTGAGCCTCAGCTCCCTGTGGTTCAGTTACAATGATTGTTGGTGTGAGGATGCCCCACCCTGGGCCGCTTGTGATGGACTGGAGGCTCTTCCCACCACCTCCAGGCTGCCCTCCAGGCATTTGGGGCAGGTGGCAGGAATGAGGAGGAGGGAGAGAGGGCCAACGAGTGCTCCTCATTGCAGAGGTGAGAAGTAACCTAGGCGTGGTGCTTGGAGTGTCCGCGTTGGGCGGTGGGGTGGCCTGAGAGCTCTGGGGACATCTGTGTCCTTGAAGGTGTTGAAGACGCTTGCACCCCAGGAAGGTCGCCAGATCTTCATGTGAACTTTAGAAAGTGGAATTACTTCCCAGGTTCTTATGTTTGTTTGTTTGATTGGAGTAGGGAAACTAAGTACCACTGGGCGTTCAGAGGTCACCTCACCAACTATAAAATAGAAAGCTTCTTCTCGAGAGGAGCCATGGAGCGAAACTCGAACTCAGATTGCGAATTCAATGTCCAGAATGTTACGTGTTACACCAGGGACCGACCAAAAGGGCAAACACACCCATCCGTAGTGGTGGTTAAATATCTCTTGGGCAGTAACTACAGTAGCTCCAACCCAGAAGTAGGTCAGGCTTCCACGAGGCCAGGCTGATGACGAAATGATGCCGTATGATCGCTGAAGAGGCGAGGAGCACAATGTATTTCAGGGCAGTTGGGGCACTTTCTTGCGTGCCTCCGTTGGTATCCAGATTTTAGGAGTCCTGCTTAAGAAAAGGAATGGACATTATTAATATAGTATTAGATACAGCCACTCTAGGGATCGGATGATTTATCAGAGTATAATTTGCAGTAGAAAGAGGCAAGTCTTCACTAGTTTCCATTATATCTTTCTGCAACTTCTACAAAAACATATGTTTCATACAGGGCCATCCCTTCCAGGACCTGGAAAGGGTGCGTGCAAGCAGGGGTCATAATAAATACTTCTCTGAAGGGATGCTTCGCAATGTCTTTCAAAGTAATCTCTCAACAAGTTTTCTCTGAGCACAAAAGAGTTAAAAATAAAATAATATGTTCACGAATGTTCATTGTAATATTCTGCAATATCAAAATTTGAAAATGTGCCCATCTGCTTCATGAAAATAATATTCAGCTATTTAAAAAGACCGGGACAGATGTAGGTACCCACATGTTGGTTTGGCAGTTTGGGGAGAGGATTTACTTTAAGACAAACAAACCCCAGCAATTTCTGAATTGTGATATATTGCATGATCTAGATCTAGTTTTGGGAAGTCTTGGTTTGTGAGTTTATATATTCATTTTTAAATTGGTTTGAGGAACATATACTAAACTCTTGGCATGAATCTTTCTGAGAAATGGAACGAGAGATTAAGGAGCTTTTCATTTTCCCATGTTCACTTTTGTGAAATAATAAAACCGCTCCTGGGGCGGGGTCTACCGTTCACGGAGCGCTCTCAGCACGCGGGCCGGCTGGGTGGGGAGGGGGAAGAGGAATCTGGGCTGGAGCCTCAGACGCCTCACGTGCTCTCAGGCCTCCAGCGCGGCGCTTTCCCGTGGGTAAGCGCACCTGCCCGCTCCGGGCCTGGGGGAGCGTGCACCTGCTGGCAGGGGACGTGGGGGGCGCGCACTGTCGGCCCCGTACCTGGGGGGCGCGCACCTGCCGGCAGGGGACGTGGGGGGCGCGCACTGTCGGCCCCGTACCTGGGGGGCGCGCACCTGCTGGCAGGGGACGTGGGGCGCGCGCACTGTCGGCCCCGTACCTGGGGGGACGCGCACCTGCCGGCAGGGGACCTGGGGGGCGCGCACCCCCGGGCACCAGCCTGCGGAGCGCGCCGGGTCGCGCAGGTGCGCCTCTGGGGCGGGCTCCCCGGTGCCGCCGCGTCGCCGGGCGAAGCGCACGCTGTGAGTGCGGGTCTCCCACCCGTAAAATGGCGAGAGGACACCCGGCCTCGCAGTCCTTTCGCGCGTCTGACAGGCAGCTGCTAGAAGAGGCCGGGCGGAGCCTGCGGAACCGCGGCCACGGCGGCCGCCGTCTGTCTCGCGCGTGTGTTCAGAGCTGCCGGTCGGAGCGCCAGGCAAGGCCCGGGCGGCCGCTGCGCCGCGAAGCGCTCCCGGCGGAGGACCGCGGAGCCCGGGCTCCCGCGCGCTCGCCTCCGGGGCGCTGCGGCCCGCGGCCGCGACCACCGAGAGCTCGCACCGCCCGCAGTCCTAGAGCGGACCGGAAGTGCGCGCGCGGCCGGTGGGGAGGCGCGCTTCGCGGCCGGCGCGCAGGGGAGCCCCTCGGGCCCGGAGGGCGGCCCGCCGAGGTGCGGCTGCGGCCGCGGAGAGGCGGCGTGTGCGTGCGACAGCCGGCTTGGTGCGCCGCGCGCCGCCGTGGGAGGAGCCGCCGCCGAAGCGCCGGCCCGGTTCCTGCGCGCGGGGCCACGGCGGCCTCGGTTTTGCGCCTCGCAGGTGGCGCGGCAAGCGGCCCTGCGGCGCCCCGGCGGCCGGGAGCCCGCTGCTTCCGGGGCGGGCCGGACCGCTTCCCTGCGACGGAGCCGCTCCCGTGGCTGCCGCGTGCGGCCACCGACGCCGGTCTCCTCTGTCCGCGTCGGTCGTCTGTGTTCACGGAGTGCCTCCATGGCGAAGTTCCCTGGCTGAGGGGCGGGCGGGGCGCCCCCCCTCCCGGAGCGCAGGTGGAGCCCGGCATGGCGGCGGCCTGCGCGCCCGGCCCGGCGTCAGAGGCGCACGGGGACGTCATCCAAGTGACGGTTAAGGAAGAAGACCATGTTTGGGATCAGGAATCCTGCCTGCAGAAGACTTTGTGTCACACCAGGGAACTCTGTCGCCAGCGCTTCAGGCGCTTCTGCTACCAGGAGACCCCCGGGCCCCGCGAGGCGCTGCGCCGGCTCCGCGAGCTGTGCCGCCAGTGGCTGCGGCCCGAGACGCACAGCAAGGAGCAGATCCTGGAGCTGCTGGTGCTGGAGCAGTTCCTGACCATCCTGCCCGAGGAGCTCCAGGCCTGGGTGCGGGAGCACCACCCGGACAGCGGGGACGAGGTGGTGACGGTGCTGGAGGATCTGGAGAGGGAGCTGGACGAACCTAGACAGCAGGTGAGACATTGGAGGTGCCATCTTCGGTGCAGAAGTTGAGGGCATGGGTCCACACTGGTGGCTGCAGATTCTGGCCGGAGCATTATTATTTGATCACTGGTGTAGAGGAATAGATACAGGCTTATGGGGTAACAGTTTGCATGTAAGTGACGGCGGATCCACAGAAGTAGATGATGTAACCGCGTGGGAACCTTGATCTATTGCTTACCGGTAGAAAATACACTTTATTTAGTGGCTGTGAGAGTAAGCTATTATGATGCCAACTACGTTTAGCATATATGAAAACAAATCAGTATAAGAATATAAGGAATACCTTTTAGGAAAAAAATAAGAGAAGTAGCCAAATTTAATAGAAGTATCAGGGAAAGTGAATGATGAGATTTGGATTCCATAATAGGCCCTGTCACTAATTAGCTGTGTAACCTTTGGCATATCACACCTTCTCTGGGCTTTAATGTCTATTTGTACAAGAAAGAGATTAATTGCATCATTTTCTAGATGGTTTTCAGTACTTGGAGTTGTTGGTACGTGAAATGTATTGAGCCTAGTGTTTGGTCTTTCACCCTCATGCTAGAGGGTTTTTTTTTTTTTTTTAATGTCTTATTTTATTTTTGAGAGAGAGCAAGAGAGCAGGAGAGGGGTAGAGAGAAAGGGAGACACAGAATCTGAAGCAGGCTCCAAGCTCTGAGCTGTCAGCACAGAGCCCGACGTGGGGTTAAAACTCAGGAACCGTGAAATCTTGACCTGAGCTGAAGTCCGTGGCTTAACTGACTGAGCTACCCAGGCTCCCCTAGAGGTTATTTTTAAGAGACTGTCTTGCTTTCTAGGACAGTGATTTTAGAACATTATGGACATTACCAAACACCCTTCTATAATGATACGATCCATACATTTATCTGAACTCTTTAAATATGAACATTTTATGTACACAGTCTGATCCGTTAAAACACGTTTTTCTGGAAAGCAAATCTTTCATATGAGATTGATATATAAGGAATGTGTGCACGTAACACTGAAATCATGCGGACACATACCTGAATCTTCTAGCAAGTTAATGTTTCGGGCCACCACGTAGGAGCAGCCAAATGCAAGGTGTGTGGTTACAGCAGGATGCGGCATGCCGTGAAGACGTCCGCGTCCTTCCCCTTGGCTCTCCTGACCGCAGTCTCTGTTTCGGAAGTGCTTACTTGCATGGTTTCCTTCCGTCTTTGTGCATTTTTTGTTAAACCTTTTTGTATGCCAGAAAACAAGCAAACAAAGGGGTTTACAAGCACCACAAAAGCATACTGGTGATAACATTTCTGCTAGTGCGTGTAAAAGGACAGCTTTAAAGAATTGAAGAAAAGATCAAAATTAGAGAATGCTTTGAAAAAAATGGAAGAAGCTGTGACATCGTGCAGCTGGTATAAAGGAGTCATGGCTGCATACTGCTAGGGACGGGGCTGGGAAGGAAAAGAAAGTTCTCTAGCTGGAACATCTGTTGGTGCTACCAGGGCTGCTAGGACGGGGTGTAAGGAAATGGGAAAACTGGAACGCTTGTTGAGTGTGTGGATTGAACACCAAGCAGAAGGAATCAGACGCAGCCTCTCTCAAATAAAGGGAAGTCTTACCAACGTATGAAGACCTTCAGGAAAAAGCCAGCGTTCTGCAGAAGTGCCTTCATTTAGTGGAAGTAGTGGCTGGTTTGAGACTTCAGAAGTGGCCGTGCCTTCCGCAGTGTTCAGCTCTGCTGAGTGTGAGTGCGGATGGAAGTTGCCCGGTTCTCCCAGGGCTGAGAAATCTGATGGATGAAAAAGGCTGTACCCTGAATCAGATTTTAATTTTGATGCAACCAGACTGCAGTGGAAGCACATTCGCTCCAGGGCCTCCATCTCTAAGGAGGAAACACACACTCAGGGACCTGAGGCCACGAAAGAACACGGGATGTGACGCTCGGCGCCAGTGCGGGGTGGGGGGGAGATATACAGCTAAAGGCTGCGGTGAGTCATCACATTGCCTGCCTGCGAGCCGTGAAAGGAGTTGTAAAGACCAGCTTCCTGTAGTTCTAGCAAGAGAGGCTGGTTTACAGGTAGATATTTATTGGTATTTTGAAAAACTAACTGCAAGAGGAAAAAATTATCTTTCAGAAATCTCAGCAATACACCAAGCCCGCCTCCAACAGGTGCTGAGCCTTCTTCAGATTTTAAGTTCTCTTTTCCTCCGAATGCAACTTATTTACTCCCGCCCCTTGATCGGGGTGTGATTGCAGCCTTTAGAGCTTATCACTTAAGGAGAATGTTCAAGATGTTTATTGCACCTACACGGGGTGGAATGAACACACAGCTTTTGCAGTCTGGAGTCAGTTGAACATTAAACCTGCCACCGATGTTATTGTGGAGGCCTGGAATGATGTCACAAAAGCCTGCTTGCATGGAGTGTTGCATAAAATTCTGCCCGATTTACTTCATGATTCTAAAGGCTTTGAGCCTTCACAAGAGCTCTCCCGATCGGAGGAAGCCGTGTCACTCTTGCAGAGAAGGCTGGACTTGAGAGGTGGGACAGAGGAGCCGCTGCAGCCCCACGTGGAAGGTGTCTCTGCATAAGAACTACAATAGGTCCTTGCTCAGGCACAAGGGCAGGGTGCGGAAGAAGGAGGTGACACGGCTCAACAAGCTGTCCCCGAAGGAGCTGCTCACTTCTGTCACCCTGTGGCTCAGGTGTGACGGAGGAGGAGGGGACAGCTCACCTCTTAGTCACCCTGTGGTTCAGGTGTGACGGAGGAGGAGGGGACAGTTCACCTCTTGGTCACTCTGTGGCTCAGGTGTGACAGGAGGAGGGGACAGCTCACCTCTTAGTCACCCTGTGGTTCAGGTGTGATGGAGGAGGAGGGGACAGTTCACCTCTTGGTCACCCTGTGGCTCAGGTGTGACGGAGGAGAAGGGGACAGTTCACCTCTCAGTCACCCTGTGGTTCAGGTGTGACAGAGGAGGAGGGGACAGCTCACCTCTCAGCCACCCTGTGGTTCAGGTGTGACAGAGGAGGAGGGGACACAATATAATGACTGAACAACTGCCATGCAGAGGGCATGGTAGGATCGTGCTTCATTCATAAGGCCCCATTTGGAGCCATGTAAGCAGCTTCTTTATGAAAAGGGAAATGTGTAACGGTATCTGTTTGTAAGTCAATGTCAAAGAAGTAAACACATGATGATGAGCCAGAACCATTATCATATTTCTTCTAAAATCACTGCATTTCTTGGAAAACGTGCAAATGCTTCTCCTCAACTTCTGATGACAGAGTCTCTACCGTTTCCTTAACCCTCTTTCCAGCACAGCACCACTTCCTGAAGAGCATTCATGTATGGAATGTAATCATCTTTATAGTACCTTTTGACTCTGCTTGTATTTTTACTAGAATCACCATGGTTATAGTAACGCTCTGGAGACAAGGTTGTGTGTATGTTTTCTATCCTATAACTTTATTTTCTCCATAAATCCTGTCGCTTTTGTGTTTAGTTTTGCAGAAGGCATGTGTTTTCCTCAGGTCATGTGTTATAATGTAGACGCCGGTCTTCCCTCTAGTCAGCACATCTCCTCCTTTTGTTTCACGTGAACAATATTGTTTTGCCCCCTGAAGATGCGCCTGTTTCTTTAAAATTTTCCTCTGTTAGCTTTGTTGAGAAATGTGGCCATTGGTAGGACTTGGTGTTTGGTCAGTTCTGGGTAATGTTGGTATTTGATAGATTTTCATTTGCTTCGGGGTTATAGAGACCTCCCTAGTCTTCTAGAATATTAAGTTTGCATACGGGTTTCTCATTTTTCTTGTTTGTGTGTGATTTCTGGAAGAAGGGAAACCCCTTTGTTGCAGACAAGCCTGGCTGCCCACTCAGGCACCCTGCTTTCAGAACGTGAGAACGTGTGGTTTCCACCGCTCCACTCTATGCCACTTTGCTTTTACAGAAGACACGGACAGTAACAGCCCTCCTTCATAAACGAGAAAATCCTCTGTGTTTCTTCGGCAAACACAGGACCTAACGTGGTTCCTCCGTAAAGCTGACGCGGCCTGTGTGAACTTCCAGAAAATGAGGATGCTGGTGACTATGCCGTTTGGGCCTCGACAGTTGTCACAGCAGCGCCCTGCTTCTGTGTGGCAGGGGAAACCTCCCCCCCCACCCCTCCTTCATCCTTAAAGAGTGTTTATTTGTTCATGTTGGCGATGGACCCACCTGCCTACCTTCCCAGCTTTGCGCGTACTGGAGTTGGCAGTGCAACACAGGCCCGGCCGGGGAGGGGGGGAGGCGGCGCGCGGACTGGTTTCTGGGAAAGCCCGGGCTTGCCTTGTAAGATGGGGGAGGGGTGACTATTGTGCCTTTGCCCGCCGCCCGTCGTGCTGTAGCTGGTGTCCGGGCATGCGCAGTGCGGGCACGAGCAAGAGCCCCGGTGTGGTGAGGACAGCTGCCTCCCCCCCCCGCACCTCTTGTCACATGACAAAAAGACCCCCCCCCCCATTTTTAAAAGCCAAAAGTTAGGTGTTCTAATTGGGGAATATATGCATCTCTCATGGGTATGACCACATTACACCACTATTTTACAACCAAAACTTTCTTACTAGAAAATTTTAAAAATCATATACAGGAATCATATAGTGAAAGACAAATGACCGTCATAACGCGTTCGAGGTTAACTTCAGTTTTGTAATTTGTTCCTGCCACCCGAGTCGCACTTTTAAGTCCGTGGTGGACGTCCCTCCGGGACGAGTCTGGCCCAGCGGCGGGAGAGGCAGAAGGGCGTGCGCGTGCTGGCGTGGGCGTGCGCGTGCTGGCGTGCGCGTGCTGGCGTGGGCGTGCGCGTGCTGGCGCGCGCGGGCACAGGAGCGGGCGCGAGCGCACTGTGGGGCAGGGGCAGTCGGAGACGGAGGTCTTCCGGTTGAGTTTTAGTTGCTGTTAAGAATTGGTTGCGCTGTCTTTGCAGAACTGAGAGGATTATTTAATTATAAGTGGCAGGTCCCCTGTCCCCCAGCTGACATATCCGCACTCCAGGACCCTGTTTTCCCTAGTTGTGGAAAGGTTTGGGCAAATTGAAATGTAGCCTTTTTATAATGCAAACCAATCTACATAGGATATTTCTTTTTTTAAACCAGATTTCTCCTTCCTTCCTTCCTTCCTTCCTTCCTTCCTTCCTTCCTTCCTTCCTTCCTTTCTTTTCTTTTCTTTTCTTTTCTTTTCTTTTCTCCTTTCTTTCTTTCTTTCTTTCTTTCTTTCTTTCTTTCTTTCTTTCTTTCTTTCTTTCTTTCTTTCTTTCTAATTTTAGAGAGTAAGCACAAGTGGGGGGAGGGACAGAGAGAGGGAGAAAATCTTAAGCAAGCTCTACACCCAGCGAGGAGCCCAAGGTGGGGCTGATCCCATGGTCCTGGGGTCATGACCTGAGCTGAAATCAAGAGTCAGATGCTCAACCCCCTCAGCCAGCAGGTGCCCCCACATATGATGTCTTAGTCTTAAGATCAGAGAATAGAAGGGGCACCTGGGGAGGCTCAGTTGAGTGGCCGACTCTTGATCTCGACTCAGGTCATGATCTCACCATTTGTGAGATCTAGCCCTGCATTGGGCTCTGTGCTGGCAGCTCAGAGCCTGGAGTCCGCTTCAGATTCTGTGACTCCTTGTCTCTCTGCCTCTCCCCTGCTTGTGCTGTTTCTCTCTCTCTCAAAAAATAAAATAAATATTAAATTTAATTAATTTTAATTTTTTTAAAAAACACGTGAACTTCATTCTTACTGTAAGCATGAAACAATCACTGCAAAACTTGAAAAGTAGAGAGTAGTCTTACTAGATACTAATCTACCGTAAAGCATCATTAGATAACATTGTGGTACTGATACATGAGTAGATGGATCAATAAAGCAATAGAAGGTACAAAAGTAGACCCAAGCACATATGAAAATTGAGTGTACAATACATTTGCTGTCTCAAATCACGGTAAGGAAAAATGGACTTTTAAATAAATGTTGGAATAAAGGGATATAGCCATTTTGAAAAGGCACATTAAATCTATGTCTCATACCATATACCAGAAATAATAAAGTTTAAATGTGTCAGAGATCAATATATAGAATTTAATTTTTTAAAAATTTTTGTAATGTTTTATTTCTGAGAGAGACAGTGTGAACAGGGGAGGGTCAGAGAGAGAGGGAGACACAGAATTCAAAACAGTCTCCAGGCTCTGAGCTAGCTGTCAGCACAGAGCCCAATGAGGGACTCAAACCCACGAACCGTGACATCATGACCTTAGCCAAAGTTGGTTGCTTAACCGACTGAGCCACCCAGGCATGCATCTGGGAATTTACTTTGAATATACGTGTCTACAAATAAGAAGACAACAGAGACATAGTTTTTCATTGCAGCTGTTTGTAAAAGCAAAGTATTACAAGCAACCTAAATGCTGGTCCATATAGAATGAATAAACTGTGGTGCATGAATATAATGTGGGACCATGTACATAAAAATGAAGAAGATATCTCTGAACTGGTATGAGATGATTTCCAGAGAATATTCTTCTAGTAAGCGAAAAAAGGAAGGTGTGAACTACTATATAGAGGTATAAAAAAGTATATACACATTTGCATTAAATTTGTGTATATTATATATACACATATATAAGTGCAAATATTGGTGTATATGTGTGTGTATGTATATATATATGTTTTACTTATTTTTGCAAAAATTAACAGAGTAAACCATCAACAACCAAAATGGTTTCTTATGGGAGTGGAGGGGGAGTAGAATATGAGCAAAACTTCTCTGAATATATATTTTGATTTTTGGGGGTGCCTGAGTGGCTCAGTCAGTTAAGTATTGAATGCTTGATTTTGGCTCAGGCCCTGATCTCATGGTTTGTGGGATTGATTCCCACGTTGGGCTCTGAGCTGATAGCACAGAGCCTGCTTGGGATTCTCTCTCTCCCTCTCTCTCTGCCCCTCCTCCCTCTCAAAATTAATTAATTAAAAACTTTAAAAAACTATGTGTTTTTATCTTTTATACCTTTAAATGTTTTAAATTGTTTTAATGTTTATTATTTTTGAGAGAGACAGAGCAAGCAGGGGAGGGGCAGAGAGAGAGGGAGACACAGAATCTGAAACAGGCTCCAGGCTCTGAGGTGCCAGCACAGAGCCCGACGCAGGGTTCGAACCCACAGACCGCAAAATAATGACCTGAACTGGAGTCGTCCGCTTAGCCGACAGAGCCACCCAGGCGCCCTTAAATGTTTTAAATATTTAAAAAGCACTGTTAAGGGACCCTTGGGTGGCTCAGTTGGTTATGCGTCCCACTTTAGCTCAGGTCATCATCTCACAGTTAATGAGTTCAAGCCCTGCGACGAGCTCTATACTTAACAGCTCAGAGCCTGGAGCCTGTTTCTGATTCTGTGTCTCCCTCTCTCTCTGCCCCTCCTCCACGTTCTCGCTCTGTCTAAAAAAATGAAAAAACGTTAAAATTTTTTTTAATAAAAAGCAATGTTAAATTCAAAGCGATTAAACACAGAAACAGGTGAACTCAACTGTATATCGAATTATTAACAATAACAGCAAAAACACAATTCAGGTGACTTGAACACAGTATTCTGACCATATGCTCTTAGTGGAATACTGTGTGTGGACCCATAAAGCTGTGAAGATACTGGTTTCACATAGTATGTGTATTGTTGGAAATGTTCTACAACACAAAGCATTGTGATCCTGAAACTGCTCTGTGCTTATTGTAGGTAAAGGCAAATGAGTAAAGATGAACATTGTATTGAACTAAGTTTTTGTTTCACTGTGGGAGAAGGTATATATTCAAATGGAATATGGAAAGATGAAGCAAATCTTACCAGTGTTGAGATTGAATTGAATTCATGATACTCTATCAGTTTATTTAGCAGCTGTACCATGAGAGTGCCTGGAGGCGTGAGGCACCAGTGACAATGAGCCTCCCTGGTACTCAGTCTCTGTTACCAATGCTGTTGCTCCAAAGTGAATCTAGACTTCTTGGAAAAACAGCTGAAACTAGACCTGGGACAGGGAAAATACAATGAGATCCTTGCGTCTATTATTCTGGGAAAATGGATGTGCTAAAAACAAAAAACTAGTGGGGTCATATCCAAAGGATGCAGGAGCCTGGTCAAAGGGGCTCTAGGGACCAAATGGGAGACATTTGGAGATCAAGGTGAGTAAGGACGGAATGGATTACAACATAAGTCTATAGTGATATTCAAAGAGAGTGAAAGCTCTTTACAGAAAATGGTTAGCTAATAAATGTAGAAGGAAATATAAAGGCAGCCAGTCACCATTTTGCAACCCCTAGTATAAAAAATGATTCAAGCAAAAATCATCAATGAATGCTAAAACCATTGGGGAATAAGCTTTTTATGTAGATGCACAATCTTTTTTTTTTTTTTTTTACATTTTTTAAAATGTTTTATTTATTTCTAGGAGAGAGAGAGAGAGCGAGACAGCGTGAGCAGGGGAGGGTCAGAGAGAGAGGGAGTCACAGACTGAAACAGGCTCCAGGCTCTGAGCTGGCAGTCAGCACAGAGCCCGACGCGGGGCTCGAACCCACACACCGCGAGATCATGACCTAAGCGAAAGTCGGACGCTTAACCGACTAAGCCACCCAGGCGCCCCTGTAGATGCACAATCTTATCGCATCACTGACTTAGTAATTACAGTGGGAAAATGAATGGATAGATCTGGCAATCACTACCTTAACCAAGTGATCAAATTNGGGGGGAGGGGAGTGGAAAGAGTGGAGAATTAAAAGGTAATTATTGAAGCTGAAGTCTTGTTTGGCTCCGTGGCTCAGCTGGTTAAAGCGCCTGTCCTGTAAACAGGAGATTCTGGGTTCGAGTCCCAGCGGGACGGGGCCCCCTTTTAGCCGCGGGAGGGGGGGCGCGGAGCCGGGGGAGTGGGGAGTGCGGGGTGGGGGGTGGGGGCGCCGGGGGCCAGCCGCTGCTGCACCCTGGGGCTGAGTCCACCCTTAAGAACAAGAAAGGACTACCACCATTCTCGAGGATTTTCTGGAAGAAAGGTTTTTCTGACTCGGGAAGAGATTCGATAAACCGGGAACTGGTAACGGATGGTTAAGAGCGGGGCTTTCCCGGCGCATCCGCGTGGACAGTAGAGTGCGGGGCGCACCTTGGAGAGGACCTGGGGATGCGGGTCCTCCGCCGCCGGGTCCGCGGGTGTGCACGAGCCGCGTTCTCGGCCGCGTTTGTGGAATGAATGCGTGAGGATTGAATGAGTGAGCAGCGCTGTCTCAGGGTCTCGTCCGCCTGTTTCCCACGCGGTCCGAGGGAAGTCCCTCCGCCTCCACTCCCCTCTCTTCTCCTCTGGTCTCCTGGGGTCCTTCCCCCATCCGCCCACGCCCCTCCCCCACCCTTTCTCCTACCCCCAGGTGTCCTTCCCCCATCCGCCCACGCCCCTCCCCCAGCCCTCTGCCCTGTGATGGAGGCTGAGGCTGGGTCGCCCAGGGAGCGAGGTGAGGTGAGAGCACGAGAGCAGAAGGTGGTGGGGGCACACCCGCAGCCCACCTCCCAGAGGCGCCCCTGGCACTGCTACTCTCAAGTAAGGGAAGTTTCCTGCTACTAATAACAATCCGTTTTTAAAGTCGCAATAGTAATACTGTGGGAACAACAACATAGTTCTGCTTTTAATCTCCTAATATAACGTTGAATGAAAAGCCGCCAATCAGAAGACTTACTCCAGTATGATTTTACTTCTGTACGTTTAGAGACACAAAACTGTTGTGTGTGGATGTCCATGTACTTGGTAAAGCAGACAACGTGAACGAAAAGAATGCCAGCATTACAGGGATGTGGCTACTTCTGCAGGGAGACGGGGCTGCGCCCTCCTTCCCCAGCTCGTCAGCAGACCTGGCCCGCAGCGCCGCAGGGCGCGGCTGTGTCCTGTGCTATGAGCCGGGGTTTCTGGTACCGTCTTTCCCGTACAGACCCCAGGCTTCTTACATATGAATGTATGTACGTATCAACCAGAGGACCGAGTTTTCGGCCTGTAAGGAAGTATCTGCCCTCAAGCACAAGGTTAGAAACTTGTTGACGGAGGACTCGGGGACTGTCTGTGACCGATTCCAGTTGGGGACAACTTCGGAACAGAGGAGCCCGCGGTCTTCCAGCGAGAAGGCGGGGTTGTCCACGCGCAGTCAGCAGGTCTCAGCCGACGGGCAGCGGGAAGGAAGGACACACTGAGGACTACATGAACGTCGAATGTACTGCTCTCCATCCCGGGGCCACCTGTCCCTACTGATGCCAACTGACTAAAGCATTCCGGAGCTAAAGATAAACTCGTTTTAGAAACAGTTTTGTTGACAGTTATGGTACGAGCCTGTGTAGGGTATAACTTCAACCGGTCTGAAAACGGGGTGTGCGTGAGTATAGGTGTGCTTCTGCTGAACCTGAAATGGGCATGGTCACTGAAAAAATACATGCCAATGGCACCTTCCTTTTCTCTATGAGTTCACGATCCCCCACATGCTCTGAGCTCAATGAACTGGGCAACCAGTATAATACTTTTGGGCTAACTAAGCAAATACGGAGCATCCATTTTCCCAGTATCCCCCCCCCCCCAGGCATTGATTTTGCACACCGTGTGTGGACTCGATGAAGGAGCAATACTTGGGTGTTACCAACTGGCTGTCCAGGTAGCGTGCAAGGCGGTGTGATGTCAAAGGCACCATATTGGCCTCTGAAGCTGCGGCCTGATCCTGGAGAAAGCAGTCTGAGAAAAAGATGTCCGATAAACCACAAGTGCCTAAGCACAAAAATTATGATCACTTTATCTATGTCATCAATGAGAGTATCCATATGGATATATTAAAAAAATAACAGAAGGGCGTGTAGGTGGCTCAGTGGGTTAAGTGTCAGACTTCAGCTCAGGTCATAATCTCTTGGTTTGTGGGTTCAAGCCCCACGTCAGGCTCTGACAGCTCAGAGCCGGGAGCCTGCTTCAGATTCTGTATCTCCCTCTCTCTCTACCCCTCCCCCACTCACACTGTGTCTCTCTCTCCTTCAAAAATAAACAAACATTAAAGTGATGTAGGGGTGGTGCCTGGGTGGCTCAGTCCGTTGGGCGTCCGACTTCGGCTCAGGTCATGATCTCAAAGTTCATGGGTTCCAGCCCCGCATCAGGCTCTGTGCTGACAGCTCAGAGCTTGGAGCCTGTTTCAGAGTCTGTGCCTCCCTCTCCCCCTGACCCTCCCCTGCTCACGCTGTCTCTCTCTCTCAGAAATAAATAAAACATTAAAAATTTTTAAAAAGTGATGTGTGATATATCTTGATTTGTATGTATTTTATTATATATGCATAAAATAATATTAAATAATAATAGATAATGACATTATGTGGGCTTTAAATGTTACCCCTTAAAATATTATTAATCTTATCAAGCATATTTTAAGACTGAGTTTTTACTACTTTGATTTTATCACCAATTTGAATGCTATGAAGAACAAATGATTTGCATATTGACAAGAGCCCATCAGGAAAAAATGTGCTGAGGAAGTACTCTTTTTAAAATTAAGACTATTTTTCAGGGCACTTGGGTGGTTCAGTCAGTTGAGCATCTGACTTCAGCTCAGGTCACGATCTCACAGTTTGGGGGATCAAGCCCTGCACTGGGCTCTGTGCTGACAGCTGAGAGCCTAGAGCCTGCTTCAGATCCTGTCTCCCTCTGTCTCTCTGCCTCTCCCCTACTCATCTTGTCTCCCTCTTGTCTCTCAAAACTGTTTAAAGATGTTTAAATTTTTAAAAAACTAAAACTTTTTTTTTTTTTACAACAGTTTCAGGTTCACAGGAAAATTGAAGGAAGGTACAGAGATTTCCCATAAGATGCATAGCCTCCCCACCTGGGGGATGCCTGTGGTATTACCCAAAGTGCATCGTTTACATTGCAGTTCACTCTTGTACGTTCTGTGGGTTTGGAGGACTATGACGTGTGTCTGTCATCGTGGTGTCCTACAGAGTAATTGCACTGGCCTACAAATGCCTGTCCCGCGCCACCCCCCCCCCCACTCTACCGTGAAACCATAGCAGCCACTCCACTCCTTCCTGTCTCCATAGTTTTGCCTCTTCCAGAATGTAATGGTGTTGGAATCATATAGTACACAGACTTTTTTTTTTTTAATGTTTTATTTATTTTTAGGAGAGAGAGAGAGAGAGAGACAGCGTGAGCAGGGGAGGGTCAGAGAGAGAGGGAGTCACAGACTGAAACAGGCTCCAGGCTCTGAGCTGGCAGTCAGCACAGAGCCCGACGCGGGGCTCGAACCCACACACCGCGAGATCATGACCTAAGCGAAAGTCGGACGCTTAACCGACTAAGCCACCCAGGCGCCCCTGTAGATGCACAATCTTATCGCATCACTGACTTAGTAATTACAGTGGGAAAATGAATGGATAGATCTGGCAATCACTACCTTAACCAAGTGATCAAATTTTGCATTACCGATAATGAAATAAATTGATAGCATGTACCCTGTGACATGACACTGTAAGTACACATCACTTACATAGTAGTTTTCCAAAAATTATTCACCAGAATCTGTTTGTGAAGAAATAAATCTCTGACATGGGGTATTCTATAAGATAACTGGGGGTCTGACTTTACAAAATTGAATGTCATAAAAAAGATTTATGTTTTTTTTAGATTAAAAGAAGCAAAAGATATGTATAAATATTGTTTCATGGACTTAAAACCATAAAATATGTTTTGGGGACAATTAGGGAAATTTAATTATCAACCATATATGAGATGGTTAGTATAACGGGCAGATAATGTTTTCTTTTTCCCCATGCATAACACTGGGCCAATTTTTTCCACATCAATTCTTTTTTTTTTTTTTTTGATGTTTTATTTCTAGGAGAGAGAGAGAGAGAGACAGTGTGAGCAGGGGAGGGTCAGAGAGAGAGGGAGTCACAGACTCTGAAACAGGCTCCAGGCTCTGTGCAGTCAGCACAGAGCCCAACGCAGCACAGAGCCCATGGGCTCGAACCCACGAACCGCGAGATCATGACCTAAGCGAAAGTCGGACGCTTAACCGACTAAGCCACCCAGGTGCCCTTCCACATCGATTCTAAAACAACTGTCAGATTCCTTTCTGGGTGAAATGGTCCTTATCAGATAATTTGCATAACTCCTACTCCAAAGATTTATTTTTAATTGCTTACACTGAAACCCATTTACAATTTTCTTTTAATTGTCAAAATTTAGGGAGGATTCATTTAATGTGTTTGTGTTGTTATTTCCCCCAAACCGAAACCACAGGGATGAGTATCAGCTTCTGTCCAATGGAGAAAGTTTCTGTTGTATGGCTCTGCTTTATTAGTCCCAGCATTTAAAAAAAAAAAAAAAAATCTGTCCTTATTCTGTCTTGGCACTTGTCTTAAGAATTCAATGAAGGGGCACCTGAGGGACTCAGTTGGTTAAATGTCTGACTTTGACTTGGGTCATGATCTTGCAGTTCATGAGTTCAAGCCCTGCGTTGGGCTCTGTGCTCACAGCTCAGAGCCTGGAGCCTGCTTCATATTCTGTGTCTCTTTCTCTCTCTGCCTCTCCCCTGCTCACACTGTCTCACTTTCTCAAGAATAAAGAAACATTAAAAAGAAATTTTTAAAAGTTCAATGAAGACTTTTTTTCTTCTTTCATTCTATTTCTGTAGGAGAATGTTCTGAGGTTTAGCTCTACTTTGTGCAGTGATCACCTATATTCATTTCCAGATGTATCAATTTGTCCCCAGGTCCCACAGGGCAGAGATGGGCCGGAAATTCCTATGGAGGGAAGGAGTCCCCTGGAAGCAGCAGAGGAGTGCTTGGGTGCCCAGCTCCTGTCTGTGGAAGGTAGAATGGAATGTGACTCTCCAGAGCCACGCCCACTGCAAGACAATGGTGAGGAGGTTTATTTAGTCTAGGAGGAGGGTGGGATTTGGGAGCGGGAAGGGTCTGCTCATGAAAAGCTATGAAATCTCATCCATTGCAGCCTTACTGAATTCAGCGGAGGGCAGGTCAGCCAGCGTCGTGTGACACTATTAAAGGAGTTAAGCGGCCAGGTGACAATGTAAGAAATCGTTGAATACGAGATTTTCGATAGATATTTTCCAATGGAATTACATCCCTATGGATAAATCAGAGGAGCCTCGGTCCCGAGACGCTGAGCACGGGTCCAATTTCTAAAGCCTCTGCCCCAGTTTTTGTCGCACATGATGTTTAAGGCTTGGAAATACTGCTCAGAAATTCTACTAAAGAAAATGGAATTTCTGAAGTCCGTGCCCCTCAGCATTTCAAGGACTGTTAATAGGATTAGTGTGGCGGAGGCAAGGGCACAGGCTGGCTGCTTCTGTCTTTCCCACAAGTCTCAGGTATCGGCCATATGTGTTACCTCTCGTAGCACCCTAACAACTCCCGGCCTGTCCTACGCCTACTGGCAGCCTCCCCACTCCTGGAGCGCGTGTTCTCCTGGTTCTCCTTCACGGTGCCTAATATTCCTCATCTCCCCAAATTCATCTTGTCCACCCTCCTCTTCTCCTCACGGCTCCACAGCGTGACACAAAATGTATTTGCGTGGAAAGAAATGCTGTCTATACGGTGGCCTTTTCAGTCACATTGTGAGACGTTGAAACATATGCCCCAAATATTGCTGTAACAGTGAACTTGACTTAATAGAACAAAATGTGGTATATGGTATAGTCTGGGTCTTTAAAAAAAAAAAAAAATCTATTACTGGGGCACGTGACTGGCTCAGATCAGAACTTTTTATTCCTCACTTGGGTTCTTCATTTACCTTCTATTTCTCCAAGGCTGGACCCCCTGACCAAAACGGTGTTCCCCCAACTTGTGTCCCACAGCCTGTATTTCTACCCCAAGCTCTAGTGACTGCTTGGCAATGTATATATTTTAAATGATATTCCCAAATATCCTAAATAATTTTTTTCTTTATATTTTAGGGTCATTTTTGTGGCTTTCCATGATGTCTCACAGTGTGGGTGATGATAACCCCAGTAGCTTAGACACTAATGAACCCGAAATTGAACCAGAAAACATGAGAGAGAAGTTCTTCAGGAGCTTAGCAGTGTTGCTGGAAAACAAAAGTAATAATACCAAGATATTTTCCAAAGCAAAGTACTGTCAGTTAATTCAGGAAGTTAAAGAGGCTAAAGCAAAGGCAAGAAAGGAATCTGTTGACTACCGTCGCTTAGCGAGGTTTGATGTGATCCTTGTGCAAGGAAATGAGAAGCTTATTGAGGCTCTAAATGGGGAAACAGATAAAGTTCGGTATTACTTACATAGCGAGGAGCTATTTGACATTCTGCACCACACACATCTCAGCATTGGGCACGGTGGACGTACTCGCATGGAAAAGGAGCTACAAGCAAAATACAAGAACATCACAAAAGAAGTTATAATGCTGTACTTGACACTCTGCAGACCTTGCCAACAGAAACATTCGAAACTCAAGAAAGTTCTAACATCCAACCCAATTAAGGAAGTTAATTCAAGATGCCAGGTGGATCTTATAGACATGCAATTAAATCCTGATGGGGAGTATAAGTTTATTATGCATTATCAAGACCTTCGTACAAAGTTGAGTTTTTTGCGGTCACTAAAATCTAAAAGGCCTAAGGAAGTGGCACATGCTCTTTTAGATATTTTTACAATTATCGGAGCACCCAGTGTCCTACAATCTGACAGTGGGAGGGAATTTTCAAGCCAGATTGTCAATGAACTCAGTAATATTTGGCCAGAGTTGAAAATTGTCCACGGGAAGCCTCAGCCCTGTCAAAGCTACAGTTCTATGAACCAAGCTAATGAGGATATCCAAAATAGGATTATCTCCTGGATGCAAGCTAACAATTCATCACACTGGTCCGAGTTTTTGTGGTTCATTCAGATGATCCAAAATCAGCCCTATCACAGAAGCATGCAACTGAATCCATTTGAAGGCACCTTCAGCTCTGAAGCTAAACCAGGCCTCTGTCACCCTCAGTTAACCGAGGAACTCATTGCCAGCCCGAATCCAGAAAATGAATTTGAACCAGGCGACAAAGAATTAGAGAATCCACTGGGGACACAGTATGAAGAAAGCATTGAGACTGGAACCGATAGTAGTGATATTGAAGAGATTTCTATTACTCCTGTGGTGGCTGTGAAAAACCCACCTGAAAGCAGATTAAAATTTTTATCCTGTGTAGTTTGTGGAAAAGAATGCTCAGAAGCTAATAGTTGCATATCATGTGCTGGAAGTGTCCATGCAGGCGGTGGGGTGCCCTCCCCACATGAGACCGCAGGCTGCCATCACGGAATAACGTGCAATCTTTGCCACGAGGCCACCACAATGAAAAGGAAACATGATGAGACCCAAAGAAATTTGACTGGTCAACCTTCCAAAATGCTAAAGCTGTCAGAGACCCCATTTTCATCAGACAAAGTAGGGGATTGGGTAAGAGTTTGAGTACCTGCTGTAGATGAAAGTGGGGGAAGAGCTTCATTACTTTTCACTGTGCTCATGATGAGTGAGAATGTTTGGCAGCATATATACTAAATAAAGCACAGGGTGGTCAACTTGGATTTGTTTTCTCCAGAGAAAAGCCCATTACTTCTAATTCCCCCCCAATCCTGTTATTAGGTTGGAAGTTATAACCTTGAATGCTGCTTTATTTGTTGTGTAGAGTGATGAGAGTCTCTTTCACTCCATCCTGGTGTCTGGAATTCCTTGGAGGGATAAAAAAGCTAAGATCTGGGGGGTAAATGGTGTGTGTGAGGGTGTGTTTCTGCGGGAGGATGAACGTGGGAAACGCTGAACTTACTGTTACCTTGGGCAGAGAGCTGAACGGAGAAAGGGCTTCTCGGGTCAAGTGAAGTAGTTAGGAAAGGGAAGAGATGGCAAGTTGGATTGCGAGATACGGGTTTATATTGAGGAAAAGTTCAGTTTTCAGATTTAAATGGAGAACATGAGATAAAAGGCCAAAGAGCTTTATTTTAAATCTGTAGGTTTCATAAAGTAGAATTAATGTGTGTTGAGTGTAGAATTTTGAAATACAGGGGCTGTATTTGATTTGATTTGGGCCAGTGGTACCTGAGTGTGATCTTCTGATCAGTACTAGTCTGCAAACTTTGTACTAGTGTACAGTGAGGCAAGTGTACTAATCAGGAGTATTTAGGAGTTTGCCACACTTTGCACGGCTGTAGCGCCCGGCACGTGACTGCTGAACTCGCGTTTCTGAATAGAACGCTGGCCGCTGTGGGTACTGTTCACGCGCAGGGCGAGTCACATGCCAGCGCTTGCACAGCACTCAGGCAGCTACAGTGCGTGATATTTTATGGCTAGTTTGCTGTAACTCAGGAAAATGTAAGCAGTTATTTATCTCTGTAACTTCATTTTAGGACCATTTTTAAATTTTTAATCAAACCTAGTTTTTAATTTGTAGCTTCGCATTATTAGATAAAGGAGGAAAGTAACATGTTTATTTTTAATCCTGATTTGCAGATGGCGAAACAAGCTTCACTGGACTTGTTTGTCAAGAAAAAACATAGCCTTTCTGAACCCGGCGGCAGGAGTAGAAGAAACGGTAAAGATGGACGTCAGGAGGTGAAAGGGAGAAGAGTTCACACGGGTTTCACTCGGAAATATGACCCCTCGTACATCGAGTTTGGGTTTATAGCTGTAATCGATGGTGAAGTGCTGAAGCCACAGTGTATCATTTGTGGAGATATACTGGCTAATGAAGCAATGAAACCATCAAAACTTAAGCGGCATTTATATGCAAAACATAAAGAAATGAGTTCACAACCGAAAGAATTCTTTGAGAGGAAGAGTAGTGAACTAAAGAGCCCGCCGAAGCAGGTGCTCAGTGTTTCTCACATAAACATCAGTGCCCTGCGGGCTTCCTACAAGGTAGCGCTGCCGGTGGCCAAGTCCAAGACGCCCTACACGATTGCGGAGACGCTGGTGAAAGACTGCATCAAGGAGGTCTGCCTGGAGATGCTGGGGGAGTCGGCCGCCAAGAAGGTGGCCCAGGTGCCCCTGTCCAATGACACCATCGCCCGGCGCATTCAGGAGCTGGCCAGTGACATGGAGGACCAGCTCGTAGAGCAAGTGAAAGAAGCCAAGTACTTCTCCCTACAGCTGGACGAGTGCAGAGAGAGCGCCGGCGCGATGGTACTCCTGGTGTACGTGCGGTTTGAACACGGTGACGACATAAAGGAAGAATTCTTCTTTTCGGCCTCTTTACCAGCAAACACAACTAGCTCAGAGCTGTGTGAAGCTGTGAAGAATTACGTCGTCAACAAGTGTGGTCTGGAATTTCAGTTTTGTGTGGGCGTGTGTTCTGACGGGGCAGCCTCGATGACAGGGAGACGTTCGGAGGTCGTGGCCCAGATTAAGGAACTTGCGCCCGAGTGTAAAATAACACATTGCTTCATTCATCGAGAAGGTCTGGCCATGAAAAAGATATCAGCTGAACTAAATAGCGTGCTTACTGACACCGTAAAAATTGTGAATTATGTGAAATCTAATGCGTTAAATTCGAGATTGTTCTCTCTGTTGTGTGACAATATGGAAGCGGATCACAAGCAGCTGTTACTGCATGCAGAGACGCGGTGGTTGTCACGGGGGAAAGTTCTGTCGAGAATGTTCGAAATACGAAATGAACTCTTGGTGTTTCTGCAAAGCAAGAAACCAGTTTGGTCCCAGCTTTTCAAAGACGTGAATTGGACAGCCAGACTAGCTTATTTATCTGATATCTTCAGTATTTTTAATGATCTTAACGTTTCCATGCAAGGGAAGAACGCAACCTGTTTTTCAATGGCTGATAAGATTGAAGGACAAAAACAAAAGTTAGAAGCCTGGAGAAACAGAGTTTCTGCGAATTGTTATGACATGTTCCATAATTTAACAACAGTTATCCATGAAGTAGGTAATGACCTTGATATTGCCCATCTGCAAAAAGTTATCAGTGAACATCTTACTAATTTGTTGGATTGTTTTGAATTGTATTTTCCATTAAAAGAAGATCCACGCATAGGGAACTCATGGATCCAAAATCCATTCCTCTCATCAAAAGATAACTTAAATTTAACGGTCACCCTGCAGGATAACTTGTTGAAGCTGGCCGCGGATGAAGGACTGAAAATGAATTTTGAAAATACAGCATCACTTCCTTCATTTTGGATAAAAGTTAAAAATGAGTATCCTGAGCTTGCTGAGGTTGCTTTAAAATCCCTACTTCTGTTCCCCTCAACGTCCTTGTGCGAGACCGGGTTCTCTACTTTAAGTGTTATTAAAACGAAGCACAGAAACAGTTTGAATATACATTATCCCCTGAGAGTAGCGTTGTCATCCATCCAGCCCAGGTTAGACAAACTAACAAGCAAGAAGCAAGCTCACTTATCACATTAAAGACTTGAAGGTATTCGGTCAAAGTGTGCACATACACATTACAGAATATGAAAGTTATGATTAAAATAGCAATTCTCTATATAAATTGCCTATATGTACACTTTCAGTTACATGTACAGTTTTTATAATTCTTTTATCTTGTTCTATTTATTAAAATGTAATTTTAAATCTGTTGCTTCTAATATTAAAAAGATTTTCATTTTGTATGCCTTTGTTATTGTTGTATTTCATTAGGATATGAAGATTTTAGGACGAATTTAGGATGGCAGTGATTTCTCTGAAACGACAGATTAGACCAATGAAGGGAAGTGAATTCGAGTCTGGAATTGGAATCTGGGTGGTCAGGTGGGAAGCTGATGTTAAGTTTCCTTTGTTGCTGCATGTTTACACGCCGTGTTTATGTGGCTGAGCCCAGGGAAACACCATGTGATGGTGTCATGACTTTGGATTCATATTGATAAATTCTGACCTCATAGCGGTGGGGGATTGGGCCATAGTGATGAGTTTAGGTCAGGCACAGAGTTTTGGATTTTGCTTGAGCTGATTGCTGTTAAAATTCTGTGGGACAGAGCCAGGTATGACGAGCTCTTCAGGTAGATTTAATAACCTCTCCTGTATGGAGATAATTCTGAAAAATGGCACACATATCTGCCCTCACTCAGAATTACTGAAAACAGACTATTAGCACAAGGCAGTTTCTTTAGGGTAAAAACATGCCAAGATCCTTGAAGAAAACGAGTCTTTTCCTAGACAGAGAAACAACATAACAGTAAGTACTTATTTTCAAAGAAAAGTTAACATTGAAAGTTGAACAAGGTAAGGGTATGTAGTCATACGAAATGTCACTAATATTTTACTGATTGAAAAGTTCCATTTTAGAAAGTGTAGGAAACATTTTTCACGTTCAATTCTGAAACTTGAGTAGGATTATATTTTAGTGTGTGTGTTTAATAAAATCGTAACAGCTTTTCAAAAAAAATGGTGGTGGATAGATGTATGCAACAGTGGTTCAGTTTCATCCACCTACATCTTATGTGTCCTCTCTCCTATCTGACTATATTTTGGAACTAAGGGACTTACATTTTTTAAATTTTACCATTTGTTTTATTGATTGAATAAAGTATTGTGCTTCCAGTTTTCAATTTTATAAAGCAATATATGTGTGGTGATTTTATATTTCTATAAATGCCTCAAGTGTTTGGAGAAAATACACTGATGGACATAAGGAATACATTTTAAAAGAGAACTAAGTCCTATTATTTTATCTGTAAGAAATATGAGGTATTGGACATCTGAGAACAGAATTAGAATCAAATGGACAAAGATTTTTGGTGTGATTTTTGGCCTTGGATATTTTCTTTAGATGGCTCCCTATTTCTCCTGCAAGTGACTCACTACCGGGAGGCTGAATCACTTTACCTTTACCTTTTAAACATTTAGGAATATTTGACTTTCCTCTGTTCCCTCCTCCCTGTGTTTTATTATCTTGCTATACATTTTTTAAAATTCAACAGCTGTATTGAGGTACAGTTTACATGAAATCTTAACATGAACTGGATGACTAGTGAGTCTGTAAGTCATGTGATCTTTTTTCCCGTTTTCTGCTTGTTTTGCAGTGAGTTCACACATCTATAGGCATGTGGTGTAGACATGTGGTGTATGCACACACCATGAAGGTAGTTGCATATTTTCTTGTGTGCGCATAGGACTATTGTGTGCTTGCTTCCATTCATTGTTTATGTATGCGCTGTTTTTTAGTTGTGTTTATACTTATTGATGTATAACAGGATGTGGTGTTGAACTTTTCCCGTTACTCAAAGAATGGCAACTACAGAGGCTCAAGGAGATGCTAAGTGCCTCTGATTCTAAAGACACGTTAGCATGAGGGGTGCCTGGGTTGCTCATTCGGTGACTTCTGCTCAGGTTGTGATCTCACAGTTTGTAAATTCAAACCCCACATCGGGCTCTGTGCTCACAGCTCAGAGCCTGAAGCCTGGTTCAGATTCTGTGTGTGTGTGTCTCTCTCCATCCCCCACCGGTGCTCTCTCTCTCTCTAAAAAATATTTTTTTTAATTTAAACATTAAAAAAAATTTTTAATTAAAAAACAAAAATGTTAGCATGAGTAGAACCAGAAACCTGCCCTTCACGCTCACAGCACACAGACTGCTTTCTGCCAGGAAGTCACTTGTAAGTGATGCTTCAGGAGAGGAGCCTTGTGTTTCACTCCCAGACTGGGCGTTGGGTTGGTGGGGTGGGGGGGGAGCGGGGTGCTCGTGGGCCGAGCAGGAAAAAGAGGCTGGAGAGGATGGTTAGACCTGCGGTAGATCAGCTCACGATCCCACAGTTTGGGGTGACAAAGGGATGCAGGTTCTCTGTGGGTCAGGTGACCTCGAGGAGTGTAAGTCTGAGCCCTCAGCAGTGACCCACCCCGGGGAGCGGTCCTGCAGAGGAGAGCCCGGCGACAGTTACAGCTGCTGGGGGCGGAGGAGATGAAAGAGGTCAAGCTGAAGGTCAGTTCTCTTTCTATACATGTATTTGTGCGCACAGCCCCCACAAATGCCCTGAAAAATCTCTCATGCTCCCCACGAGACAGCTAGGATCCCAGGGTCAGATCAGAGAGCAGGTTACCAATTGACACTGCGTGTGTGTGTCGCGGGCGGGGACGGGGGTGCGCGCAGACACACTTTAACATCTTTCCACGAACCTGGCCTCCTAGCGAGGTTTACTGTCATGAGCGGGGCTGAGCTGGGGGAGGCAGGTTAGAAGAGGGTGTGCCGTTGACAGCTGCCCCGATTCGGAGGACCTGCTCCCTCTCAGCTCTGGTGGCGACAAGCCCAAAACACCCAAGGCGGGGCTTTGTGCGGGGCGGGGTGTGCAGAGGGAGAAGCTGAGGGGTATTTGGGGTGCAGTGCTGGCGCTGGGCCTCCGTCCCGGGCTGGCCGCTCTGAGGATGTTGCAGACACCCGGGAGGATCTTGAGTCGGGTTAGGAAGTGCCCTGTGTGGCGTTGCTGTGTCCCTCCCGCAGGGGGTCCGCTTGGAACTGACGGCCTGGAGGAGGGAACGGCGCGCTCCTGGGTGCCCCTGAGTAATGGCTTCCAGAATGTCTTTTCCGGTGTTCACACCGAAATAGATTATTGTGAGAGCTCCAAGCACGATAGAAATTATTATGATGAGGAAATAAAACATGCATTTACTGGCTCAAAAACATACTGTGTGCTTTGTATTCTGATAAACTTGTGTTAAGTTGAAGACAACCAATTTATTATTATTTCTTATTGATTGATACAGTTATGGTTTTAATTAAGCCTTATGTTCATTTAAAATGTAAAAATGGGGGGCCCCTGGGTGGCTCAGTCCGTTAGGCGTCCAACTTCGGCTCAGGTCATGATCTCACGGTTTGCAGATTTGAGCCCCGCGTCGGGCTCTGTGCTGACAGCTCAGAGCCTAGAGCTGCTTCAGATTCTGTGTCTCCCTCTCTCTCTGCCCCTCCCCCACTCATGTTCTGTCTCTCTGTCTCAAAAATAAATAAACTACAAAAAAAAATAAAATGTAAAAATGGAAAGAGCATGAGGCCATTATGGACTGTATGACTTTTAAGAGTGTGATTATGATCATGATGTGCTTTATCTTAGTAAACACAAGTTAATTTCTGACTGAAATTTCTTTTGCATCTTTAGGAGGGAAATTTTTTCAAACTACCGTTTTCCCATCTGAAAGGTTTCTCCTAGTTAACTTGGGGAGCCAAGAGTGAACTCCCAGTGAACAGAGTATGAGGGCTTGTGGGGTGCTGTCGGCCAGAGAGGAGGCCAGACATGAGGAGGCCGCACAACAGAAGCCGGTTCACAAAGACAAACCCAGGTAAGGAGCGTAGGCTCATCCGGGAGACACAGGGAAGCACTGAAGGGATCATAAATAGAAGGTGACCTGAATTTCAGTTTAGCAAGATTTCTCTGCCTGCAGTGTGGGAAGTAAACCACAGAGTGAGAGCAAGGCCATGAGTCCTGTGTGATCGATCCCAGAGAAGTGGTGTAGATGGGGACATGTCACTAAGGATGAAAGCAAAGGGACATATTTGAAAGGCTCAGTGTTATAAAGGTGCCAGTTTCCAATCCTACTGAATATACCAATAGAGGTTTTATGCAATATAACAAGTATCTATATATATAAGAGCAAAAGATCAGACTGGCTAAGAACATTTAAAAAAAAGAGGTGAGAAAACTTGCTTATTCTCACCTCAAACATGAAATTTTATTATAAAGCTATAGTGTGTGAGACACGGTAGTACGAAGACAGAGACAGACAAATAAACCACTATGGTGTAGTAGGGTTCCCAGAAGCAATCCCACCGATATATGGAAAACTGATATGACAGGACTATTTCCACTCAGTGGAGAAAAGAAAAAACTGACTATCCATTTGAGAGAATATGAAATTGGACCCCTGCATTAAAGACTTAAATGTGAAACACAACGCTGTAAAACTTTAAGTTATTATTCAGTAAATTTGAAGATGTCGGTGCCCTGCAGTCTTACCACATCCATTGTTGGTTATATGTGGGGCACTGGAGGAGCCATGCGTCTGGATGGTTATGACATCAGAGCATATAAAAAGCCCAAGTGGGAAACAACCCAAATGTCCACTCACAGAATACAATGTACTATGTTATTCAGCAGCAATATTGTAGTAGTTAAGATTGCCTCATCACTGCAGAATTGGGGAGATGTGATGAAATATATATATGTCAAAATTCATCAAAATTATGTGATTCAAATGGGTGCATTTTATTGTATGTATGGTATACCTCAATAAAGCTTACTTCAAAAGGCATGTGACCTGGGGGTGCCTGAGCGGCTCATGTGGTTGAGCATCTCTTGATCTTAGATCAGGTCTTGATCTCAGGGTCTTGAGTTCAAGCCCTGTGTTGGGTTCTATCATGAGCATGAAACCTACTCATATGTGGAATTTAAGAAACAAAACAGATGAACATAGGGGAAGGGAAAGAAAAATGAGACAAAAACAGAGAGGGAGGCAGACCATAAGAGACTCTTAAATACAGAGAACAAACTTGCTGGGAGGTGGGGAGATGGTGGGGGGAATGGGCTAGATGGGGGATGGGCATTGAGGAGGGCACTTGTGATGAGCACTGGGTGTTGTATGTAAGTGATGAATCACTAAATTCTACTCCTGAAGCCAAGACCACACTGTGTGTTAACTAACTTGGATTTAAATTTTTTTTAAAAAGTGACCTATAATTATACACATCAACATGGGTTAAATTTAGAACATAATATTGAAAGAGAAAGCAAAGTTGCAGAAGAATACTGAAGTATTGTTCCATTTCTAGCAAAAAAAAAAAAAAGCTTTAGGAAGTTTTTAAAGTGTGAAAACCTAAACAGCACAAATGAGAGATACGATATGGTAAAGATGTAAAGAAAAGAAAACGCTACAAAATATGAAAACGGAGTTTCTGTCAGAGGCGCCCTGTGTTGGGTGGGCGGGAAGGAGGAGGGTGGGGAGTCCGGAGCCCGGGGACTCCGGGAGGACCACTCTGGTCATGATTTGTTTCTCAACGTGGGTGGTAAATACAGCAGTGTTCAAAGTACTGGATTTTTTAAAAAGCCTTGTACATGAGCTATAAACTTTGATATCTTTTTAAAGTTTAAGGTACAAAGTAGTTGATAGAATATAATAAATGTGACAAAAGTGATGCTGAAGACAGGATGAAAAGATGCTAAGAAGGAAAATTATGAAAGAACAGACATTATGAAAGAAAGACCGAGAATCTCCAACATCCGTTTATAAGAAAAGAATTGAGAGAAGGGGCAGTGAGGGATCTTTGAAGAGATGAAGCATAAGAATATTCTAGAATTGGGAATGGCCTGAGCCCTCAAAACCAAGCTACAAAACCAGCCCAAAGCCAGATAAATAAAACTAAATTTATACAGAGATCCATCATAATGAAAAAATATATTAAAAGCAACTAGGGATTTAACAATAATAACTAAATAAAACTGACTTAGGGTAGGTTTTTCAACAGCCATAACAGAAGCCAGAAAAAGCTGAAAAACATTTTTCAAAGAGCTGGGGGGAAAACTGTCACCCTAAGATAGATGAAAGTCGTGAGAAGAGTATAGACATAACCACACACGTCAGGAGAGACACGGCACCAACAAACTCTCAATTAAAAAAAAAAACAACTATTAAAGACATAACTAAGAAAGAATAAAATTAAACCATGAAGAAAAAGTAAGCTCAACAAGGAATGATAAGCAAAGAAAATAATAAACATCTGGGAAATCTAGATAAACATTTACTGTAAGATAATTTAGCACTAATGTGTAATTATTGGGGTTAAAACAAGAAGAAGCTTAAAATGCTGAATAACAAGTAAGTTGGGCAGAGCAGAGTGCTGAGAATTGTTTTTTTTTTTAACATATGTAAGGAACAGACCCAATTTTCCTTAATTTCTATCCAACAAATACAATTTCCTAGTGACAAGATATTTCAGTGAATGTCCTAATGGCAATTACTATTAAAATCTATAAACTTGATAAGAGAGCTTCTTGTTCATCTGAGCAAATAAAGTAGCCAGAAATGCAAATTTATGACGGCAGGATGGAGATCTGCATGTATCTAACCTACTCTGATTGTAACCCATCTGTGTTTTCTGTACCTGTGTAGTGATTGGCACGTTAATATGCCCAATCTTTCTTCACAACAAAGAATGGCGACTTTATCTTATCAAGAGCACTTAGTCAACTCTCACCTTTTCTAAGATTTCTGTGTCATTACAAATAACTCCTACTGATCTGACTTTGCCTTGCTCCTGTTCAGTCTATTCTCAACAGCCAGAGAGATACTCTGTAGTGTAGATTAAATGTAGTGTAGATTAAATTCTATCACTCAGCTCAACACCCTCCTTGGCTTCCCAGCTCATTCCAAGTAAAATGCAAACCTTACAGCAGCTTGGACTCTTATATGATCCATCCTTCTCTGTCCTGGTTTCCTATTCTCTCCTTTCCCACTAGAATATGGTAGGCATGAGAGGATATATATTTTTTTAACATTTATTTATTTTGAGAGAGATTGGGGGGGGAGGGGCAGAGAGAGAGGGAGACAGAATCCAAAGCAGGCTCCAGGCTCCAAGCTGTCACCACAGAGCCCCACACGGGCTCGAACTCACGAACCATGAGCTCATGGCCTGAGCCAAAGTCAGACACTCAACCAAATGAGCCACCCAGGCACCCCAAGAATATGAGGTTTTTTAAAAATGTTTTATTTATTTTTTAGAGAGAGAAAGAGAAGCACGAGTAGGGGAGGATCAGAGAAAGAGGGAGACACAGAATCCGAAGACAGGCTCCAGGCTCTGAGCTAGCTGTCATGAACCGTGAGATCACGACCTGAGCCAAGTCGGACACTCAACTGACTGAGCCACCCACGCGCCCCAAGTATATGAGGTTTTTAATCTATTTTGTTTCTTGCTGTATCACCATGACCTAGAAAAATACCTAGCACATGGTAATGTTCAATAAATATTTGGTGAATAAATGAACAAATAGAGGTCAACTTGGGGACTCAGGATTGCATTAATATTTTGCATTGTAACAAATGGTAATATTACTTCCACTTATGATAATTTGCCTTATATTTTCCATGCACAAATTGCCTTCATAAGTCAAGGGAAGATTGTATCATAAAAATGATATTTCAAAAGAGGAAGTAAAAATTCCCTCTGGGTTAGGAAGCTAACTCTTTGGAACAAATAAGGCCTTTATTTCAGTACTTTCACCAAAATATAAATCCTGGATATATTATTGTTTAAATATACTTTTTAAGTGTTAGGGTAAATTTAGGAGCTTGTGGATTCGAGTTTGCTGTCGGGCTCTGTGCTAACAGCTAACTCAGAGCCTGGAGCCTGTCTTCAGATTCTGTAACTCCCTCTTTCTCTGACCCTCCCCTGCTCATGCTGTCTCTATCTCTCTCTCAAAAATAAATTTAAAAAAAACATTTAAAAAAAGTGTTAGGGTAAATTTAGATGATAATTATATAATAGTGTGAGGGAAAGTCATCAAAGAATGACTCCCAGGAAAGTTACCATAAAGAAGAAAGTATTGGATTTAACCCCATTGAAAATTTATAATTCTATTTTGAAATAAGCTATTAATAAATATAAAAAATTAGTAGCTGGGAATACATTTTGAATACATAGTAGATAAATACACTTGGTCTATTGTAGGTTTGACGGTGATCTTTTGAATAAATAAGAAAAGTGTTAAACAGCATAAACAAAGATATGGATCAAGGATCCCAGTGGCTTAAAGTAAGACATTTGCTCATCACATGTCTCTTGTTTGGCTCAGCTGGGGTTGGCTGGGCTTTTGCTGTGTTATGTCCATGTCTCCATGTGTCTTCACATTCTGACCAGCAGCCACCTGGTGTGCCCTTCTGCTGGTGCGATGCAGATGGGCTGGAAAACTTGGACATGACTTTGAAAGCCCAGCTAAGAACCACACACCCTCCTTCCACCCACATCCCATCGGTCAAATCAAGTCCTATTGCTAAACCCAGTGTCGGTGGATTCGGAAAGTATGCCTCGTTTTTAGGGAGGACATAGAAAGGGGAAAAAACAAAAACATACCCCCCCCCCGAATATTCAGCTAAAAGTCTTTTTAAATCATAAATACATTTTTTTTATGTAGCAAGATGAAGTGGTCTCAGGATTATTTCAGTAACCCAGAAATGTGGTCAGGGAGCCTGGTTTTCCGTGTTCTATCCTTTCTTCTGTCTGTTGGTCTTTGTCCTGAGGTTTGTCATCAGAGGTCATAGCTGGCTTTCCCAGCATCACTCACAGAAAAACA